ATATCTTGAACACTGGGCATCCCTACGGCATTGTTAGGATAGTCCTTCAGCCTTCATCTTGAATAATTTTGGGGTTGGATGAGGTAGACACCCAACTAGAACTATTTAAGTGTTTATGCCACTGCCCCTGACTTAAACCTTTCCCTCCAAGTCAGAAGCCCCTCATTAGCGACAGAGAGGTGAAAGTCAACTCCATCCGCCTCCATGGCACTGTCTAAATCACTGTCGTTCCATGGGAAGGTAAGTAAAGATAGAGATCAATAAAGCTTTAGAATTTTTGTTTTTGCAATTTCTGATCCCAGTATGATGCTGAATAGCATAAAATAGTAGGGGAAATGAAGTGTTTAAAAAAAAACAAAACAGCAAAAAATTTAGGGCTCTAAGCAACTTTCCTGCTAATAAACCAGAATCTTGAGGAAATTATTCACCATCTCTGAATCTCAACTTAAAATTTTATAATGGCATGATGAGTAGGAGATGTAGTTGGTATACAAAAATGCCATGATGATCAGATGAGATACTAAATGTAAAAGTGGACTAACTGCTTTGTCAAGTGTGGGCTTTGATCTTCTCTTTCACGAAATAAATTCTACGTATTATTAAATGATTGATAGAGACGTGAAATATTTTCCAATTCTCTTCACTCTCACAGGCTGATTGGTTTTTCCAATATTGTTTGTCATGTGTGGCTTTTGACACTTCAATACGTGAAGACAAAGAGCATTCGAAAGAGAGATATTTCCTCGTTCTATGTGCCTAAAAATGTAGAGAATGATGGGGTTCTAGCCAATGAGAGATGACTGGATGCAGTCCTTCCATCCATTTCCCCACTGCTTTTCAAGATGTAAATGAAAGGCCAGAGAAGGAGCAGACATTCTGGACCATGACCCGGAAGTTATACAAAAGGATGAAAATGTAAGAAAGAACGAGCTGCTTCTGTTAATGTCATAGAGCAGAACTGTCAAATCAACACTGTCTTCAATGAGAGGAAAAATCGCTTCCGTTTTACTTAAGACTCTATGTAGAGTCTCTATAAAATTAGCCAAATGCTAACTCTATCCAATATACTTTGTTTGAAATTAATTATTTATGCTTACTTCCTTTTTAGATCTATCTACTAGATGTTTTTACTCTTATTAATTGGATCTTAAGTGCCTTTAAAGGTATAACCAAGTAAGCCCTCATATTCCAATCTTTTGAACAAATTATTTAAGACAAAGGGCAAATAAGTTTAGATATTAACAACCATATATTTGTAATGATAAAGACAATTGTAGTCCTATCCTTAGCTGTTTCTAATATGGATGATTCAGTGGTGTCCCGGCAGCAGAGTTTGCAGGCAGTTGTGTTACTAACCTAAACCCACCCTCTCTTGTGGTTCAAATCCACCAGCTGCTTCCAGGGAGGGAGATGGGTAATCTCCTTCCATTAAGGTTTACAGACTCCCCCAAAACCTGCAGGAGGGTCCCTGTGAAGATGAATGCTTGACAGCAATGAATTTGGGAATATTCTAAAGTTATCAATTATTAAGAAAAATAACTGAAGAATTTTCAGGGTAGTTTTCTTCTAGATAATAAAAATGGAAACGGACTGTCAAAAGACGAGGAGGTAGAATGAAAACTGTATGTCTTAGTGCTCAGAGAGAATTTAAACAATAGTGTGGACACCCACATGGACATATATACACAGAGAAACCTCATTCCAACCTGGTGACGGGCTGTCAGTGGCAAGAGAATGGAGGGAGTGTCCCCCTGGAAAGTGGAGGGGACTAGACGACGTGGACTCCTGGGGGGTTTTATTTTTTCATTCTTGGGTTTTCAATACTAAAATATCTGGAGTTGATGATGTGGGTTTGGGTGTTCAGGCTGCTGACTCCCCACGGAGCCTGGGGTCTAGAGATTTTCCGTCTGCGGGTCTCCCTCAAAGCTGGCTTCACTCAGCATGTAGGTAAACATGCCGTCAGTTTTCAGAGAACAAGCTCCATCCCTATCTCTCCATTCCTATCAGCACAGGGCTCCAGGGACATGACAAGCGCACTGCTTTAGGAGGAAATGATAGGAAGAGGAAACCCATGTCAGCCTTTCTAATTTGCTGCGCTCTGGCCTCAGGCCAACACAAAGAGACGGTTTCTCCTCTGAACATCCTGATATCTCGTCTCAAGCGGAGCACCATACAGCAAGCCTTCCGCAGCAAGGTAGTGTCAGTCCTGTTGATAGAATTCCCGAGGTGCCAAGGAACAGTGTGAAGTTAGCAGCGGTTGCCTTCAAATCTCAGCTCTGCCTGAATTTCTTGGAAAAAAAAATCTGTGCATTTAAAGGAAACAATTCAAATGCTTTCTAACTTGTTTTGATTTTCCACATGACAAAACACTAATTGTTATTATGTGTGTGTATGTGTGTGTGTGTGTGTGTGTGTGTGTATTTCACATGGCAGGCAGAAAGATAATTTGCAGCCCCTCTATTCCAGGGAGAGAACTACATCCTAACAACAAAATGTGAAGATGGAGAGAGGCTGTTCATTAATCCCAGTTGCATCCTTCCTTCCCTTCCTTGGAAACTACTCTTTTACAGGGGAGACACTAACATCTTGTCAGTCACCCAGCTAGCCAACAGTATTTACTTGGTCCTTTCTAACTCATTCTGGCATATGACTAAAAAAAAAATGTAACTGTCTAAGAACACATCAGTCTCTCAGCTCATCCAAGCATCAGAGATGTGGCAAGGCTGGGCTTACCTCAGACGACAGGGCTCTGGGCCCTTGCTGGGTTGGTGCGACCACAGTGGTGCCAGCCACATGGCTTAGAGACAAACCCTTCTGGGCAAGACCAGCTGGCTTCATGCTTGATTGGCAGGAAGCTTTGACAGCCTGAGCCCTTACTCCATATGGACAAACAACATGATGGAGTAAAAAGAGCTTGCACTTTGCAGTCAGCTAGACCTCTTTTGTGAGGAAATGACTTTTCCAGTCTGGATTTCGTATTTGTCATCTATGAGATGGGGGCAAGTAATTGTTGAACTGGGTGGTGGTGGTTGTATACTGTTAAATCAGAAGTGATGAGATGACCCTCTAGTGGATTTTCAGAAGCAGCAAATCATACAAGAGGAGACTGTCCATCTTACTCCCATGGAGCAGCTGGTGGATTCGAACCACATACCTTAGCATTAGCAGCGCAATTTCTTATCACAAAGGCACCAGAGCTCCCTTTTTGAAGTGGGTAGATGTAAGATATAGAGAAGAACACTCCCAGTCTGGGACATGAGGGACACTCATAAGAGTGCCATCCCTTGCATGACAGATGAAGCTGAGAAGAGTGAAAGACAAATGTTAATAGAGATGCTGGTGTGATGATTGGCAGGGAGTCAATCGATGAATGCTTGCAGGATGACTGACTCTCATCCCAGAGAGAACATTCTGGGTGCTGCGAGGTGGTCATTTTAAAGCTGACTTAAGCATCCAACATCTTTGTTATCACTGAAGTAGACCTTTCAGTCTGATATGCTGTTTCCCTCATTTACTGTTCAGCTCCATGAAGGAGGTGATGATACCTGTCTATTGCAAAACTTTGTACCCTATCTATACCTTCAACTAAGTGTTAGCTAAAGGCTTTCTATTTCTTCTTTCCTATTCCCCCCGCCTCTTGTTGCTTTATTGAACAAGTGTTCTGTCATGGAAGAAAAGCAAAGATGAAAAGCACTAAGCAATGGAGGGAATTTTTTGCCAGCTTGATACATACACACTAGCCCAGTCTGCAGGTCAACCTGGTTTGCTGATTAAAGTAAAGGTTATCAGAGGAGATACCAAGTTATAGGGTAGAGATATTCAAGATGTGCGAGGTAGAGTCTGCCTAAACTTTCATGATAGTCATCCCAGAAAGCATACTTCAAGTTGCTTCAATTAAGTCAGCATTATTCAGTGACCTCCAGATTGATTTTATATACATGTGGGCTAAATATTTGAATTCTCAGGCGTAATTGTTTTTTTAATGCCATTTCTACATTCCAAAGAACATGGCTCTTCTCAAAAGGTGAACCACTAAAGTATTCCTTTAAAAGAATGAAAGCACTCTTTTGAAAGATTCTCTTAAAAACTAAGGTTTTATCGCTACTTGGAGAAGGTTAGACATAGCGCTGTCCTGCTTTGCTTAGTTTAGCAAACCTTTCTCTCGATGAAAAGAATAATTGATAGAGCATGATCTAGATAGGTATTAATAAGAGAACGAGGTTTGTACTAAAAGCCTTTACCAGTTTTCATTACTTCTCAAAGCCACAACCTTTCCTGGTCTGCATGTACTCCTCTCTCCCAAAAGGTGGGAGAGGAAGCACGGGGTTAATGCTATGATGTTTTTGTAGACTAGGGGTCTCTAGCAATGCTTAAGCATATAGAACTTTTGTTTAACTTCAACAAAATAACACATCACACTTGTTATTTAAACCACTTTCAAAGAGAGTTCGCCGAAGAGCACCAACACCCAAGTGCAGTTTGGCTGAAATCTCAGCTAAGTGCTGCAAGTCCTCTGTCCTCTCTGTGAACAGATAGTTCCATCACAGAGACAAACGGCTCAGCTTCAACAGAACTTTCCAAGCTGTCATTTGGCTTTTCACGTGTGCCACCGCGGGTTCCAGTCACCCCAGCTACAGTGTGCGTGCTGCCAACATGGCAGGCCTGTCCTCTCGTTTGTGCCTCTCTCTCTGCTTGGCAGGCCCTCTCCGGTGGCCGAGATCTGGCTGAGTTCCCTCCTCTACTTGATTGCACTGATGGGGAAACCAAAAAAAAAGAAAAACAAAAAAGTCAGGGATAAAAGCAAAACAAGATAGATCCTCTCCAACCAGCTGGACAAAGATGAAGACAAGAGGAAGCAGATGTCCCAATGAAGCCACAGATGGGTCAGATGGCCTTCCTCGCTCGCCAAGGGAATGCAACGAAGGTCTCTGCGAAGGTCTCTGCGTGCCCGCATGGCTTCCCCTTTCCCGGGGGAGAGGAGAGGGCCAGGTGTAGGGGGGTCACCACCTGACCACCTGGCTGTTGTAGTCCTCGGTGACAGCCCCGTCCTCTTTGGGCCAGCGGTGGCCCCGCTGCTCGCGCTGCAGGCGCCGCTGCTCGCGCCGCTGCTGCCGGTCCCTGCGGTGCGCGAGCTGCTTGGTGCGGTGGTAGCGCTGCTGGAACAGGTCCTTGGCGAACTCGTAGAGCTGCACGTCCAGGAAGTTGAGCGCCTCGATGCGCCTGCGCGCGCCCTCGCTGATGTCCACGTTGGAGGCGCGCGTGATGTTGAACTGCGTGAAGGGCGAGATGAACTGCAGGTTGAATGTCCTCTCGAACAGAAACTGCGTCTTGCGCTGGAACTCCGTGAGCCCGAAGAAGGCCATGTTCTTCAGGTTGCTCTTGGCGCTCTGCAGCAGGATGCTGTTGCGCTCGCTCTCGTTCATGAAAGTCAAGTTGTAGCAGCCCACCAGGCTCAGGTCGGCCAGCATGCGCACCTGCCGGTTGTTGGCCAGGTTGTAGCTGCAGTCCATGAACTCCCGCAAGCTCACCCCGGACCAGTCGTCGCCCGGGTAGCAGGTGGGCAGCTCGTCCGGGGTGGGGCTTCTCCCATCGCACACGTGCAGAGACGTTTTCCACGTGGCCCCTCGCTGGACGTGCTTCCACTCGCTTAGGTAACGCGACACCGGGTCCCGCAACATCGTGATGTAATAGAAATTCCTGCAAGAAAGTAAAGAAGGGTCAGTGTTTGACGGAGGCTGGAGGGAGATTCCGAGTCTCTAGAATGGGTTACTAAACCTTCAGCCAACAGCAGTGGGTCCTTTGCTAAAATGACCACATGCAATTGTTTGCCTTGAGGAGTGCTTACCAACAGGACTTGGGTAACATACCCACGTCATGCCTGGACGTGGCCCATTTTTTCATTACTAAGTTTATTGGCTTTTCCCCTCCCTGCTTGAATGGGACAGGAACGGGGTTGGGAGCAATAGAGGATGCATTTACTAAGCATTTACTAATAATTTACTCTCGGCAGTAGCAATGTTTCTACCTGAAGAGAACACCCCGTGTTTTACTAAAAGTTGTTACCTCACCAGCATTTTATTTAATTCTTTCAATAAATCTGTGTAGTAGAAAGGAGGCTTTGGAAGACAAATATACACAAATATATAAAGAAAATAATTGATCTAAGGTCATTGAGCCACCAACTACGTTAATATGATATTCTCTTTACACTATTTTACATTGTGCAGTATACAGACAAGGGAGGTGAGGATAGGGTAACTTAAGTGTATCCCCAACACACACCAAAACCAGCCAAACCAAAAAGTATGGCCATGGAGTTGATTCTGACTCATAACCACCCTAGCAGACAGAGTAGAAATGCCTCGGTGGTTTTCTGAGGTTGTAGATGTTTATGGAGAAGACTCCCTAAGCTTTATCAAGCAGAGTGGTTGGTGGCCGTCATCCCCTAACCTTTGGGTTAAGAGCCTTAGCTTACAATGCCTCAAGACTCTTTTAGGTGACATGATAGCAGAGAAGTTAAAACAATGGGGGAAATAACACTTTCCTAATTCCTAAGGAGAATAACCAGATCACTTGTTTTCCAATAGAATGTGGAAGTTATCCAGCAATATCATTGAGATCACATGCAACCAAAATACTATTGAAGATTGTCCAGATATGGCTAGAACAGTACATTGCTAGAGAACCACCAGAAGTTCAAGCTGGGTTTATAAGAGGCACCAGGGATAATCATTGCTGATGTCAGATAAATCCTGACTGAAATAATATCTGAAGAATGTCTATTTGTGTTTTATGACAATGCAAAGGGATTTGACTATGTGTGCATTATAACAAATTATGACTAATGTTAAGAAGAATGGGAATCCCAGAAGACTTTAATTATGCTCATACAAAATCTTTATCTAGGCCAAGAAGCTGTTGTCTAAACAAAGCAAAAGAATACTCTTGTTATGTGCTGTTGAGTCACTTGCAACTCATAGTGACTCTATGTACAATAGCCCTGAAACCTGCTGTATCCTGAGCAAACTTTACTGACACATTACTGTCTGCTCTCATTACCCCAGTAACTGAATAAATCCATCTCATCAATGGTCTTCTTCTCTTCTGCCATCCCTCAACACTTCCAAGCATAATGCCCTCTCCAAGGACGGGTCCCTCTTTGCAACATGCCCAAAGTATGTCAGACAAAACCTCAGAATCCTTGCCCCAAAGGAGCAGCCTGGTCTCAACCTCTCCAGGATGAACCTGCTTGTTCTTCTGGCAGTTCATGGTATAGTCAATACTTTTCTCCAGCAACACAGCTAATTCTCTTTCTATCACCCTTAGTCATTGTCCAGCTTTCTGATGCTTATCAAGCAATTGCAAGGACTATGGTCTGGATCAGGCACACCTTAGTCTCCAATTTAATGTCATTACTCTTCAATACTCTGTAGAGGTCTCTGACATCAGACTTTCCCAATGTAATTCCTCTTTTCATTTCCTGGCTGCTGGTACAAAGAGCATTGATTTTGGAGCCAAACAAACTAAAGCTGTTTACAATCTCAGTTTCTTTAACATCTATTGTAATGCTGCCAACTGGCCCAGTGGTGAGTATCTTTGTTTTCTTCATGTTGACTTTCTGAAATACAATGCCTTTGAGCTGTGGTGTTGGGGAAGAGTACTGAATATCCCATGAACTTCCAAAAGAACAGAACAAATAAATATGTATTGGTGAAATTAGAACCAGGGTGCTCCTAAAAGCCAGGATGATGAAGCTTCTTCTCACTTTGGGCATGTTGTTAAATTGGTCCAGTCCTTGAAAAAGAACATGATGTGTGGACAGGTACAGGATCAGTGAAACTTGTTGTAAAGTGACATCAAGTCTAGTACAACATCACAGTGACCTTATGGACAACAAACCCCAACCCTTCTCTATCCAGTGCCCTCCCTATCATCCCCAACACACTTGAGTCCACTGCTGTCCACTGCTGCAGTCACGGTGTCTGCCCATCTCGGTGACAGTCTTCCTTTCTTTTGCTGCATAGCAAGTGATGGAAAAGACTGCCCTGAGTAAGGCACAGCTCAGTCATCAAACTGACATCATTTCTCTTCTGTAAGTTGGAGAGGTCTATGACAGAGAACAGCTCGATGCAATACATCTTTTCTCCTGACTACTGGTACCTATTGTGTTGACTGTGGCTTCAAGTAATATAAAATCATTGACAAGTTCAATCCTTCTTCTCCATCTACCATGACCTGTGGTCACTATGACTTGTCAACTCTCTGGTACTTAACAGCAACAAAGCCTGCATGATGAGATAAGCTCAAGGTTATGTTGCTGATAAACTTATATAACTTGGATTTAACTCAGTTCTGACTGACTTTAAAAATCTCATTTTCATCACTGTATTATGGAAAAAAAGAGGCCTAGACATACAGGGGCTTTGTACCATTGAGTCAAGAGCAACTCAGGGCTGACACACCAGTGGGTTTTCAGAGGCAGCAAACTACATGATGGAGATTCCCCAGCCTTCTCCCTCAGAATAGCTGATGGATTCAAACCCAGTGCCTTTGGTATGGCAGTGAAACTCCTTACTGCCAGGCTACCAGAGCTCAAACTCTGAGCTATCAATTGAAAGTACTAGTACCAATGGTGGTACCAGTTCAAACCCACCAGTTTGTCGGAGGGAGGAAGATAAGGCAGTCTGCTTCCATAAAGCTCACATCTTGGAAACTCTATGGGTCAGTTCTACGCTTTTCTGTAGATTTGGCATGAGCTCAGCATCAAGGGTTATACTGCCCTGTAAAGATCTTAATGAGGTGTAATATTTAAGTCCTCACATTTCCTATATTCTGTTATTCTAAATGTCTAGCCTCATTAGGTAAGGTAGGCATTTCTTAAGTGTGCTTAGGGATTTCATATTCTTAAATAACACTCACTTCTCTTGAAATCAGAGGAGGGATTTACTGGAACTGCCAAGGAGAGGCTAGCCCGCACGTCAGCGTTTGCCACTCACTGTTTTATGTTACACTGTTGTCTTTCACTGTGACAGAATGACAATTCCATCAGTGAAAGAAAATTTCCCAAAAGGTCAGCAGGGAAAGCGGAAAACCACTGACACAGCTTCTGGGTTCTGTGAGGAAATGTTGACGAGAAAGTTTTGCCCAGAGATGCTATTACTGCAGTTGAATGCTGCATGACACGCCATTATTAATCCTGCCTTGGCCCTAAATTGAGACTTGTTCATATTTCAGTTCTATAAGCAAAGGCTGGTTTTTTTTCCACAAAACAATTTTATAAAATATATATAACTAAAACAATGGTGTTGATAAATAATGGAATTCAGTCAGTTTTAAGAATTTCAGACACAGCAGGGCAGCAGATCACAGAGCTCTTAACATTGGGTTTGAAAAAAAATATCTAATAATTCGGTTAACTGAAAAACTAGAAATCACAAAAGGTTATAATCAAAAAGGCAAGACTTGTTAACAATCGGAAAAATCTCAAGTGCATTTATGTATATTAAGTGTATATAGATATACATTTTAGAAGTAGGCATAAGAACTAGATAGTTTTAGGGCTGACAGTTACAAAGGTCAGTGATAGGAAGGATAAAATGAAGTCTGTTGAAATATGCATTTGTCTTGGTTGGTAAAATTGGCCATAAATTTCTGACGCATTCATCTTGTTGAGAATCTGTTCAGTCACAAAGATGAGTAAAACTGATTAAGCTTCAAAATGTTCTTGGTTTCAAGTTCTACTTTATTTATCACTGCATTTGAAATGGCAAATTATTTTTAAATAGCATGAAATTTGTATACCTGAAAATGCGTTTACAATGTCCTATTGATTAAACACGAAGGACACAACCTGCAATGAACTGAAACCAGCTCTGAACCCAAGAGACAGACATGCACTGGTGGGACATGTATGTTTGTGAGGACAAAGCTGTCCCATCTCACAGCCCTGGTACTAATAGATTGGAGAGATAGCTGTTTTCATGAAGGGTAGTTAGTCTCTTGTGGTTTTAACTGCTGTTTTTGTTGTTGTTATTTGTTTATCTCAATTCTATAAAGCCGTCACAACAGGAACTTAGACAAATAGTAAAAATAACCCAGTAGGATTTCAGATTACTGAACTCTAAAAGGAGAAAAACAACTTAGAATTTAATAGATCAAATTCAGGTTTTTTCCTCACCGGTATTCACTTCTCTGCTTTCTGAGAGAACACTGTGTAAAGTCACTGATTACGTGATGTTTCTCTCTAGGCCACATATGCATCCTGCAATGTTTTCAACATCTGTTTCAATTCCAGGAATCCCCTTCCACTCCCAAACAGTGGAAACTCATTTTCTCCTAACCCTGTACCTTTAATATCAATTCTGTCTTTAATGAAAGTACTTAAAAAGGTTTGAAATCTACAGCTTTCTCTTCTAGCAATAGCATCAGCAAGAGGGGGGATGGTGGGTCTGCCCCTTGACGCTATCAGTGGAGGTGACACCAAAGTAACCCTAGAGTCTGTGGCAGAAATAGGCAGGTGGTATAGAAGGGGAAGGGGCCACTGAAACATACCCTCCCATCCTTCCCCAGTCAGGATCTGAGCAGTTGTCTCCTTAGCCAACAAGAGAGAGGAAGACCTCAGAGATTATTTTTAAAGGAAGACCTCAGAGATAGAGTGGGATCGAGTAGGATGGGCCAATTAGTACAGCACTGAATCC